TTTCTGTCCTTTGATTGCTCTGCTGGATCTCGTCAGCTGTTCATGGGGCAGACGGGTGAAAACGTTCCGATCTTTTTCTTTTTTTTGTTAACTGACCTCATGTCCGCCTTACACAACAACTGTATCGTCCCTACAAACTAAACGATGTTTCCGCCCGGGATCGAACCGGGGATGGGCCCGCTGGTCGGGAGACAGGAGCCGACCGACTGACCTCGACTTGACCAGCTCCTAGGGAGCGGGTCCACCTCAAGTGAAGGCTGGCCAGTCGGTCAGCCATGGCGTCCCAACTATTGACGTCATGTTGGAGTACTACCGGAGCTGTAGCCCAAGTGGTAGAGCGCTCGCTTCACGTGTGATGGGTACGAGGGTCGATAGCCCGCAGCTCCAGAAAGTGAGTTTTTGGGTTTATATGATAGGGAATGATTTACATTAGAAAATATTAAAATAAGCATAAGATAAGATGAAACAAACTCTGTTATACCCACTAGTATACTTTTAGGTAGAAAAGACTGCTATAGACAACACCGTGACCCTTTTTAGTAAATATAGTCCTCGAGATAATTATCTATTTACGTCATCATACCTAGCACAGCGTGATTGAGAACCAATTGGCAGCCATCATATCTGAAAATCATGCTCACGAATGCCAGAGATGAACGACTTGGTCCTTTTTCTTGGTTTTGCCATTGGTCGCCGCATTGGCTGTGGAATCACGGTACTTGAATGACGTCATGTCGACGTCATAAATACCGAGGTGACCTTGAAATATTCTTCCCCAAAATAGTATTCCCATTTGCACGGGTGTGTGGATCAGAAACTAGATCGGTTAGATTTGCAGAAGGGAGGGCTGTGAACCACACCAAATGATCTTCAAAAGTGGCTATTTCAGCTACCTCCCCCGCCCCGGAAATGACAACAGTCCCTACACCGCGTGTGGTAAGTGATGACAACTATACCACGGAAACAGCGGGCGCCTCCTGATGACCCGGCCGGTCGGGAGGCAGGGGCCGACCAACTGACCTTGATATGGCCAGCTCTCCGGGAGCGTGTCCACCTCAAGTTGAACCTGATTATTCAGTTAGCCATAACGTCCCAACTTTTGACGTCATGTGTCAAAACCACCGGGGCTGTAGCTCAAGTGGTAGAGCGCTCGCTTAGCATGTGAGAGGTACGGGGATCGATACCCCGCAGCTCCAAATAGTGCATTTTGGCGTTAACATGTGGGCAGAGACTCGGGGTGGGGAGGGAAGTTAGCTAAGAAGGGGAAGCACAACAAACTCGGTGGGTGATCTACAGAGGGACGCTCTTTTTGAAAGACATGCTTTTTTGAACTTCTAGTCCACTCTATGCCAGGTTATCTCCACTTTTTCAATCGGTTCGGGTTCATTTGCTGGAAGGCTGAAATCGTTTAAGTTTTGCTATGAAAAATGTCATAAAAATGTTTCTCTCAACAAAAAAAGTGAAAAACGGACTGGACGGGAGATGTATTTGCCCCCCACCCCCTTTGCAAATAGCAAGGGGCCAGCTACCCGCTCCCCTACCCTGGGCACCTCTCCAGGGGTATGCGGAAACCTAGAGATGCTACTTGGAGCTACGGGGTATCGATCCCCGTACCTCTCACATGCTAAGCGAGCGCTCTACCACTTGAGCTACAGCCCCGGTGGCTCTCACAAATGCCGTCAATAGCTGGGACGCCGTTGCTGACCGACTGGTCAGCCTGCACTTGAGGTGGACCCACTACAAAAGACCTGGTATGTCGAGGTCAGTCGGTCGGCTCCTGTCTCCCGACTGGCCGGCTCATTATGAGGCACCAGCTGTGTCTGAGGTGTAGTGGTTTTTACACCCGGCTGACATACGGAGGGTCCCCGGCTCAATCCTGGGAGGAAGCAGCCTTTGGTATGTAGAGCTGTTGCGGTGGTTATTGGGCAAGTTCTGTACCAAGCTAGTCAACAGTAGGCATATTGTGTCAGCATGTTCCTAGCCGTCTGCCCAATGGCAGTTGGCGTGATCTGGAACAACATTCAGGAGGTGGAAAGTTAAAGGGCACTGTCAAGTGACTAGCAAGTAAGCTGTCAGGCAGTCAATCAGGAAAAAATTAAACGCGCATGGACAAAACTGAAATGAGTCAGGTGCCAAGAGGCCAAAGGAATGCAAGTAAGTTCCGAAAAGTCACCTGAGCTAGAAATCAAAGGAGACAGAGGCCAAGTGGCCATATGCGATGATATTATACAAGTTCCCTCCCAACGTGAATGAACGCCCGTTGTTCCATCATGGGGACGGGACTATACGGCCAATCAAACCGGTTGACAGCCCCATGCTCCGAGCCTATTGCTTCGAATGATATGAAGCCTTCAGCGTTCGGTGCCGCTTGGTCGATAACCTATCCTTTCCAGACAATGGTGACCTTAAGTTTGGTGAAAGGTTACCAAAAATATAAAAAACGAAAAAATATATTTCCAGACCCGCCATGCTCCGAGCCTTTGGCACTGATGACCATGAAACCTTCACGAATTGACGTGCCATAGTTATCGACTGTGGCGAATCGATTAGTGAAGGTTTTGTGGTGATCGGTGCCAAAAGTTCTTAGCGTATGGTTGTCTCCAGCCAATTTCGATTGCTTTCCGCTTTTAGTGATCTATGACCTGACTCAATGTCACCATGTTTGTCAAGGCCACCAACGCCACATGCCCCTTGACTTTCCACATTTCAGTTGTTGTCCCGAATAGCGCCGACCGTTCACGTGGAAATCAGGTGATTACATCTGAATCCAATGTGTCAAACGTTGACTCGTTCGTGCTGGCGTTGCACTATAAACATAGGGTTTTTGCTGACTAGACGATGAATCCTCCCGGGATCGAACCGGGGGCCTTCCGCGTGTTAGGCGGATGTGAAAACCACTACACCACGGAAACAGCTAATGTGGTGTGATGAGTCTACTAGTCGGGAGACAGGAGACAACCGGCTGACCTCGATATGGCCAGCTCTTCGGGACGTGTCCGCCGCAAGTGAAGGCTGACCGGTCGGTCAGCTGTGGCGTCCCAACTTTGCACGTCATCTTTGAGTACCACCGGGATTGTAGCTCAAGTGGAAGAGCGCTCTCTTATCATATGGGAAATACAGGGATCGAAGACTCGTATTTTTTAGTTGTTAAATTTGATCCGAACGGTTTGAATAGATGGATTTTTAGGATCAGCACTCTAGCTAAGCAGTGCTTGTTGTGTGAGCCCTGACCCCCACCATCTGATCGCGCAATTCCAGGCAACGGCAGAATTTAGTGGCGAAAACTTAACGTGCCGTAATGCTCGCCACGGTCCGTCCTGCCCTCTGACGTCAGCTGACATTTAGCCCGACTGTTGCCACCGGCCGCAGGCCATATCTGCCAAGGACAAATAGCGAGGGTCTCACAGGAACTCGAACCCACCCTGCCACGGGTGGGCGGATCGGAAGGCAGGCGCTCTAACCAACTGAGCCACCGGGACGGGCTCGTAGCTCCAAATCTTGAATTTTTCATCCTCCCTCCCCACACTGACAGACGTTCGGGGTGGGGGAAGGGGAATGAGAGATAAAGGGGAAGCCCATCAAGCACAAAGGTGTATTCATCTTACCATTCACTGCACACGTACTCGGTGTTAACTTTAAGAACAATTCAGGCGTTGCAGTCAATATTTAACAGTGTAAGAAACATATTTGCCACTGGCTTCTGCCCTTTCTAGTTTATGGCCTTTGCGTAATACAGGACATTGACTTCTTGCGTTTTATTTTTATCATATCGCACGTCTTACCTCTTGCATTTTTTCGCCTTTGACAATGTCCCTCAAATTTACGCCCTTCCATTGCTCTGCTGGGTCGCGTCAACTGTTCATGGGGCGGACGAGTGATAACGTTATGATCTCTTTTTTTGGTTAACTGACCTCATGCCCGCCTTACACAGCAACCATATCGTCCCTACAACCTAAACGATGTTTCCGCCCGGGACCGAACTGGGGCCTTCCGCGTGTTAGGCGGATGTGATAACCACTACACCACGGAAAAAAGCTGACAGCTCCTGATGAGCCGGCTGGTCGGGAGACAGGAGCCGACCGACTGACCTCGACTTGACCAGCTCCTAGGGAGCGGGTCCACCTCAAGTGAAGGCTGACCAGTTGGTCAGCCATGGCGTCCCAACTATTGACGTCATGTTGGAGTACTACCGGAGCTGTAGACCAAGTGGTAGAGCGCTCGCTTTGCGTATGATGGGTACGAGGGCCGATAGCCCGCAGCTCCAAAAAGTGAGTTTTTGGATTTATATGACAGGGAATGTTTTACATTGGAAAATATTAAAATAAGCATAAGATGAGATGAAACAAACTCTTTTATACCTACTAGTATATTTTTAGGTAGAAAAGGCTGCTATAACCAACACCGTGTCCCTTTTTAGTAAACATGGTCCTCGAGATAATTATCTTTTCACGTCATCATACCTAGCACAGCGTGATTGAGAACCAATTAGCAGCCATCATACCTGAAAATCATGCTCACGAATGCCAGAGATGAACGAATTGATCCTTTTTCTTGTTTTTGCCATTGATCGCCGCATTGGCTATGCAATCACGGTATTTGAATGACGTCATGTTGACGTCATAAATACCAAGGTGACCTTGAAGTAGTCTTCCCCAAAATAGTCTCCCCATTTGCACGGGTGTGTGGATTAGAAACTAGATCGGTTAGATCTGCAGAAGAGAGGGCTGTGAGCTACACAAAATTATCTTCAAAAGTGGCTATTTCAGCTACCTCCCCTGCCCCAGAAATGACAACAGTCCCTACACTGCGTGTGGTAAGTGATGACAACTACACCACGGAAACAGCGGGCGCCTCCTGATGGCCCGGCCGGTCGGGAGGCAGGGGCCGACCGACTGACCTTGATATGGCCAGCTCTCCGGGAGCGTGTCCACCTCAAGTCAAACCTGATTATTCAGTTAGCCATAACGTCCCAACTTTTGACGTCATATGTCAAAACCAACGGGGCTGTAGCTCAGGTGGTAGAGCGCTCGCCTGGCATGTGAGAGGTGCGGGGATTGATACCCCGCAGCTCCAAGTAGTGCATTTTAGCGTTACCATGTGGGCAGAGACTCGGGGTGGGGAGGGAAATAAGCTAAGAAGGGGAAGCACAACAAACTCGGCGGGTGATAAAGCTACGACTTGGAGCTGCGGGCTATCGATCCCCGTACCTCTCACATGCTAAGCGAGCGCTCTACCACTTGAGCTACAGCCCTGGCGGCTCCCACAAATGCCGTCAATAGCTGGGACGCCGGGGATGACCGACTGGCCAGCCTGCACTGGGGGTGGACCCACTACATAAGAGCTGGTATGTCGAGGTCAGTCGGTCGGCTCCTGTCTCCCGCCTGGCCGGCTCATTAGGAGGCATCAGCTGTGTCCGAGGTGTAGTGGTTATTACATCCGGCTGACATACGGAGGGTCCTGGCTCAATCCCTGGAGGAAGCAGCCTGTGGCATGTAGAACTGCTGCGGTGGTTATTGGGCAATTTCTGGACCAAGTTAGTCAACAGTAGGCATATTGTGTCACCATGTTACTAGTCGTCTGCCTAATGGGCAGTTGGCGTCATCTGGAACAGCAATGAGGAGGTGGAAAGTTAAAGGGCACTGTCAAATGACAAACAAGTAAGCTGTCAGGCAGTCAATCAGGATAAAAGTTAAACGTGCATGGACAAACCTGAAATGAGTCAGATGCCAAGAGGCCAAAATAATGCAAGTAAGTTCCGAAATGTCACCTGAGCCAGAAGTCAAAGGAGACAGAAGTCAAGTGGACATGTGCGATGATATTATACAGCAATGTCCCTCCCAACGTGAATGAACGCCCGTTGTCCCATCATGAGGACGGGACTGTGCGGCCGATCAAACCGGTTGACAGCCCCATGCTCTCAGCCTAATGCACCGAATGACATGAAACCTTCAACATTCGATGCCACTTGGTCGATTAGTCTTCCTTTCCAGACAATGTTGACCTTTAGTTCGGTGAAAGACTATCAAAAATATAAAAAAAATGAAAAAATATATTCCCAGACCCCCCCCCATGCTCCGAGTCTTTGGCACTTATGACCATGACACCCTCACCAGTTGATGCGCCATAGTCGATATCCTATTCTTCTCAGAATATGGTGATCTTGGATTAAGTCAAGGGCACCAAAATTCGGCACAAACCACCAAAGTTGGCTGCAGACATCCCCATGCTCTAAGCCTATGGCACCGGACACTACGAAACCTTCACCATTCGCTGGGCCATGGTCGATATGCTATCGTTTCCAGAATGTGGAATTCGAGTCCGGTCAAAAGTCACCCAAATTAGCCAAAATCACCAAATTTACTGCAGAATCACCAAACAGATACCTTGGACGTGAAACCTGTTGACCTGACTCAAGATCACCTTGCTCTGGAAAGGATAAGATGTAGACTATGGCGAATCGATTGGTGAAGGTCTCGTGTTGATCGGTGCCAAAGACTCTGAGCATATGGTTGTCTCCAGCCAATTTCCGTGGTTTTCCGTTTTTAGTGACTTATGACCTGACTCAAGGTCATATGTTCATATGATCATATGGTCATATGTTCATATTTTCTCCCTTCTGGACTGCCCGTCTGACAACATGCCCATGACCCTTTAGCGAAACAATCTTTACTTTATCCGATGCAGCAACAGCAAAGCGTTACAATGCACAGTAACAGTAGGCATACATATATGTCTACAATGCACGTGCATAATGGATATCACCATTAATCTCCTATTTCCTGAACAATGCATGCCATAAATGCGTACATTTGCACCCCAATCTCTGGATGTCAGACGTCTATCGCCATACAAGTTCGGCTGTAGCTAGGTCACACTGTCTGGAGGATATACAACCTTGACAAGAAGCAGACAAATGCACAATGCTGTCATCCTCACGGAGACATGTATCAGACAGAGCCTTGCGCCAACATTCACGAATATACATCATGCATCCAAGCTTTAGATGAAGGAGCGTCACAATACACCTCCCAAGGCGGGGGGGGGGGGGGGGGGGGGGGGCTAAACCCCTAATGATTAAGCTTAAGCTTATGTGCATTCCTGCAGATCGCACGAAGTCCATAGGAGACAGCTCGGGTGAGTACTGAACGTTATCGTTAGTATCGTTTTTATCGAACGTTAACGTTAGTTCGGACATTCCTACGGGCTGGTGGGAAATCCTACTTCTGGACTGCCCAGACTGATGATTCTCCTGCTGATGGTAGCCTGAGATACTCCATCCCTCAAATAATGCCGACCAAAGACGCTCCTGGTGGTCTCCTGGCGGTTCAGGAAGCGCAACAGCTGAACCTGCTTCAGATGGTTGGTTGTCCTGTCTGGCCGATGGTGATTCGGCTCATCTCAAGTCTGATTGCGACCATGGGCTCTTGATGGTTTGCTGCTTTGTCCTCGAGGAATTTGTCTTCCAGGCTATCCCACATGAAGTCCAATGGCAAAAGATCGCGCGAGTGCGAAGTCACTGCATGGTAGCCTTAAGCCGATGGACACTGCAGGGGAATGCTCCTCCAACCAATTCAGTACAGCTAGTATCGTACGCAATTTCATATCGTCTTGACAGCTGACAACGAAGCTATTCTTAGTTCAACTTGCCGAGAGATGGCGGTGGTAGTGCTGGACGGGTTTGCTGAAGCAAATGTCGTTTTGTTCGTATTTTAATTCTTTCCCGTCGTGTTCTTTCATAGCTGTTCATGAGTCTGAGCTGTTCACTTCTGTTCGCATTCTCGGTTATGACACTATTCTTAGGTTTATAAATTACCCGTGTTATTCCTGTAATGATCATCAGACATGCCCAACATGTTGTATTACGTAGCACAAAACGTGATTGAAAACGGGAGAGGTATGCTAGCCTAATCTGTCTACTGATGACTAACTTCATGTTGACCATACACAACAACCGTAGCATTTCCACCAGCTAAATAGCGTTTGTGCCCGGGATCGAATGGAGGCCTTCGGCGTGTTAGGCGGACGCGATAACCACTTCACCACGGAAACAGCTGACAGCTGCTGATGAGCTGGCTGGTCGGGAGAGAGGAGCCGACCGACTGACCTCGACTTGACCAGCTCTCCGGTAGCGGGTCCACCTCAAGTGAAGACTGGCCGGTTGGGCAGTCATGGCGTCCCAACTACTGACGTCATGTTGGAGTACTACAGGAGCTGTAGCCCAAGTGGTAGAGCGCTCGCTTCGCGCGTGATAGGTACGAGGGTCGATACCCCGGAGCTCCGGAACGTGAGTTTTTGGGTTTATATGACAGGGGATGCTTTACATTAGAAAATATTAAAGTAAGCATGAGATAAGATTAAACAAGCTCACTTTTACCTGTTGGTATACTTTTATGTAGAAAAGGCTGCTCTAGACAACACCATGCCGCTTTTTAGTAAATATGCTCCTTGGCATCATTATCTATCTACGTCATGATGCCTAGCACGGCGTGATTGAGACCCAACTGGTAGCCATTATATCTGAAAATCGTGCTCACGAACGCCAGAGATGAACGACTTGATCACTGTATTGTTTTTGCCTTTGATCGCCGCATTGGTTGTCGAATCGCAGTATTTGAATGACGTTATTTTGACGCCATAAATACCAAGGTGACCTTGAAATACTCTTCTCCAAAATAGTCTTCCCATTTGCACGGGCTGTAGATCAGAAACTAGAGCGTCTAGATTTGAAGAAAGGAGGGCTGTGAACTACACCAAATGATCTTCAAAATGGCTATTTCAGTTACCTCCCCCCGCCCCAAAAACGACAACAGTCCCTTCAATATGTGTGAAGTGCTGACAACTGCACCACGGAAACAGCGGGCGCCTCCTGATAAGCCGGCCGGTCGGAAGTGCGGGGCCGACCGACTGACCTTGACATGACCAGCCCTCTGGGAGCGGATCTACCTCAAGTGAAGACTCACCAGTCAGTCAGCCATGACGTTGCAACTATTAATATAATTTTACATCACCTCCGGGTTTGTAGCTCATGCTGTAGAGCGCTCGCATTGCATGTGAGAGGTACGGAGATCGATACTCCGCAGCTCCAAATCGTGCAATCTTGCGTTTATAGTAACACATACTTCTGAATCAGTTAATTGGATCCTGACCCCTACATTTTCAATTAATAATCCTATAAATATACATATTCAAAGGTAGGTGTATTTACAAGAATATGTCGCCTCTTTCGCACGAGACATGAGTGCACTGACCTATAGTGCCTCTGGCCAGCTTTTGACCTCTTCGCCATCCCCAGCGTCTTTGTGCGTCTCGTCTCAGCCGAGAGCGTCAATCCAAGAGCGAGAATCTCAGCGTCTCGCTGAAGCCAAGAGGTACGCATGACCAAGCTCATTCAACGTCGTTGTCTTCCTTGCATGGAGTTTAAAGCCGGATGAGGAGGTGGTCAGACCATTACGTGCCTGCAGCCTATGGATATCATACTTGGTACAGGTTAAAACAGATGTTTAATGACAGCATACGTGCTGGCGCAATATCCTTACTTACGCCATTACAGCTGCTGTTTTCGTACGCTCGCGTCAATGACATCACGTGTTGTCACCACTTCCACTGCCGCGCTTTTGCAGGAGCTTTAGAGAGTAAACTGACAAGGTCCTGCAATTTGCCTACCTTTTCTGTTCATTGCGCACCCTGAAAGTCATGTGTTAAAGTTTCTTGTATGACTGCATCACTACCTAAGATTGTTTACCAATTACCGTGATGGACTGGGCATTTGAATTGCAAGTTTAGTGTTTTTCTCTTAAGCTAGAGTTTAATGCAGTGTGAACGTATCTTTGCAAAGTTGTCTTTTCAACAACTTACGATAAGTAGAATAAGTTTCGATATGGAATGAAGACAAGGTCCGAGCTGGGCTCGGCAGGGTTATCTTATCACGTGTTTTCTTCAACATTTTGTAATGTAAAACATTCCCTGTCATATAAACCCCAAAAACTCACGTTCTGGGGCTGCGGGCTATCGATCCTCGTACCCACCACACGCGAACCGAGCGCTCTACCACTTGGGCTACAGCTCCAGTAGTA